GAAAGTTAATTCACAATTTAATGGGCACAAATGAGTCACTGAATTATCCCCACCATTTAACATGGCCTTATTTTATTTCTCAACTTTATTGTAGACATTTAAAAATATTTATAAAAATAGAGAGAACAGTATAATAATTTGTATAGTATAAAATTTGCCTTTTCATAGAGGTTTTCTGGAGAGTAGATTAGGGATTCTAATGCTGTTGAGAATTCCGACAGCCCCACTAGACCAGGATCAGGTTACCTGTGTGCAGTATCTCTGGGAACCTCTCAGACCACATCCCCCTGAACTATGTGGCTGTGAGAGGTGCAGGTGGAGGGATGCAGGGGTCAGGCATCCTCATGGCCAGAAACATAGCAGACAGCTGAAGATGGGGACCCTTTATACAATCCGCACGTTCCCCGAGCCTGGCCCCAGGGCAGATCTCAGCTCCAAGGGAGGAGAGGCAGTTAGTGCTAGAGAGTGCAGTGACATCTCCCAGAGGCACTTGGCTCTTTGGCATGGCTTTTTAGAACAGGAGGTGATCCTGGTATGCTCATATAATGCCACTTTTGACTCCCTTTGAGGGATGGTTGACACTTTCTCCATTAATTATCATCAGTCCATAAGTTTGGTTTTTTTAAGCTCCTTGTGGCTATCAGAACTCCACTAAATTTCCTTGAAGTTTAATGAAAGAATGCAGTGACTTACAGAGGATAAATACATAGCATAGCTTTTTAGTTTCCAGGTAAGCTGGGCCCCAGCCCACTAGTGGGCAAGGCTGTTTGAGGCTAGGAGCCCTGGAGAGAGGGGCTCTGGGGCAGTGGATGGAGGACAGGAGTGGGGAGGGGCACAGTTGCTGAATTCTGCTTCTTCCTCTAGTGTGCCCCCCTCCCCCAGAGAAGTAGAGCTCAGAAGTCATCATTCAGCAGGCCCCCAGACATACCCCACCCCACCCTTCTTCTGCTACGTGGGAGGAGGGAGATTTGCCTTCAGCGCCCTCCAAAGCTGGCTTCAGGGATCTGCACTTCTTTTCTTTTTATTCTTGCCCCACCCTCTCGGCGGCTTCCCAATAACCCCCTGCTGTGTCCAGCAGCCCAGGGACCCCCATGGCAAGTTTTACTGCCAATTTTGGGTGGGTGGAGGGGTAGGTGGCAGCCCGTGTTAGAGACATTCCTCTTCATTTCTCTTCTCATCCACATTGACCTATTCTGTGCCCCACTGACGGGGTGGCGGTGGTGGGAGCTCATTCATCGGTATTGCTAATGCGTACAGGTAGGCAGCATGAAATGGCCAAAGAACCTCTCATTCATCCCTGATGACAGCAATATCCCCAGCTCATACCATGGTTCTTGGTGGAGTGGGTGCTCCATAAATGTTTATTGGAAAAATGGATGGAAGAAATGGAAATATCATCGAACCTAAAGTTGAGAACCCTAAGTTCTCCTCTTGGTGCTGAAACCCTGAAATGTAGAGCCAATGGGGCCAGGAAATTCAAAGTCATGGGCCAGATCAGTTTTACGGGGACTAAATCTGAGCCAGAGTCCTGATCAGCAACGAGGATCAGCAAGTGTCCCACAGAGGATGTGTGAACGTCAGGCAGTGGGGCCCGCGTGTGGGGTGTTGTGGGAACACGAGGTCAGAGACCCCTCCTGAGAGTAACGCTGCTCTGTGAGATGCCTCCCACGCCGGCCCACGCCCGCGTGCCCTTCCCAGGTCGACCTCAATTCACACCTGGTCTTTAACATATTTCTACTTTCAGAATTGGGGGTCCTGACTGCCTCAATTCAAAGGATGTCATTGTATAGCCAAACACATAGTTATTAAGGACCATTGTTTAAAATGGAATTGCTCCATTCTCCAGTGAAGTTTTAATGAACAGAAGGAAGATACTCTGGACAAAGGATTACATAAGAGGATGGATTTGAGCAAAAGAGATCTGGAGAGATGTACAGACTTGATTTTGTTTGTTTGTTTTCTAATATCTTCCTGGGTGTCAGCATTATACGTACATTCTCTAAAATTCTCACTGCAACCCTGGAAAATAAACACTGCATTATTATCCTTTTCCCACCTCCTCCTTTAATGGTGAGGAAATTGAGATGATTCAGAGTGGTTAAATGACTTCCCCACACAGCCAGGAAGTGAGGGACCAGGATTTCAGGTCTTTTCCAGAAGACTCCAGAACTCAATCTGTCCGCTCTAATATGCTGCTCTGAGGTATCTGGAAGAGGTGACATGAAAAGGTTGCCGCATCCCCATTATCCACTTAATAAAAACAACAATGCTGATAACAACTAATATTTACACACCCTTTGGAGCTGAAAAATTACTTTGATCTTCCATTATCTCATTTAAATCTCACCATAGTCCTTTCAGGTGGGTATTTCAGGCCAATTTTAAGGAGAAGGATATTGAGTTTCAGAAGAGCTCATTTCCAGGCCACAATCACCCAGGACATAAAAATTGAGATAAGGGACAAAACAAAAGCTCTTTGGAGTCTTCGTAAGGAGTATAAAGGGATTTTGAGAGTAGAATTTTTGAAAATCACTGCTCTGGGTCATCTCAACTTTGCATTTCTGCCCTTCTCCTAGTGACACAGAATTGAAATACAGGAATCATAGACTTAGGATCTTTAAACATGGAAGGACTCTCAAAATTGGCTTCCAAGTGGAGTCTGGGAGTCCCCCACAGGTGCCCCAGGGGCTGCCTTGGGGGCAAAGGGAAGGTCAAGTTGAGGGTGGGGGCTCCAAGAAAAATTGTTATTTGTAAAGCTGGCACTGGAGTCTCT